CAGAGTCCTTGAATATTTTTAAGGCAGGGTTAGATAAACTTATGTAAGCACAGATTGAAAGGTTATCAAGGGTAGGTGCATAATGAAATTTGAGGTTACAGTCCGATCAGTCATGATCTAATTGAAAAGTGGGTTAAGTTCGATGGGTCTGAATGGCCTACTCCTGCTCCTAATTTGTATGCTTATATATTTATATGAAATGACACTAACAGTTTTTGGATTGTAGGAAATGCAGGCTTGTCTGCAATTATGGCTTAAGTTTGATGATCATCTAAATTTTGCCACTGTTTCGTTGTGCAATATCTAGCTTTAATTCCTCCAGTGAGGAGTCGGTTTTCTCAATGATGTAATCTGTTTCATTTCAGCTTCTGTCAGCATAGATTGTAAACACCAACTGTCTCAAATTGTGTGAAACTGGAAGAGTTATGTGTCCGTGTGAGGAGTCTAACAGAACCCCCATGATAACTGCAGATCCAGTAAATATATATATAATGTCTGCTGTAGTGGTGCCTGCAAGTTTGAATTGAACCTTTATCACTAATATTTAATCCCATAAGACTTTTGCCTCTATGTATAAAATGTGAACTTGTCTGCGGTAACATCTTACCTGTGCACTGCAACAAAGCTCGTTCTCAGAAGCCGAATAATTGAGTCTTCCATAAGCTTAGAGTGCCTTTCACAGGGATGAGAGAAAGTTCCAAAACTTCTTAGTGGTAGATACGTGCACATTTACAATTAATAAACAATACAGAAATGACAGTGATTCTAAAGCATTGCTTTAAATGATCTAGTGCTTTACTTGATGGTGTTATGATCCTAACTGATGTTTATTATTGGGCAAGTCTGATGCAATACTGAAATCAGGCTTAATAGATCATATTTTGATTCTTTTTAAAAATAAAATGGTCATTCACTGAAACACCAGCACACACTGCTGGTTTTTAACAATAAAACAAGGTTACTGTGCAAAAAAAATAGAATCAACCAAACTATTTGCTGATATCACAATTTGAAATATTTCAATATGTGGTTAAAGTACAATATTTCATCTATTACCACAACATTCAAATAAAAGTCCTAAAACACCAGAAAATTCTATCTCTTTTACATCTATAGGTTTAACTAACTTTTTTGCTTTCAATTCCTAGTCTTGAGTTCTGATATCCTCTTCCTTCAATATTCATACAGCTGAGCTTCGACTTTGTTTTTTGAATAACCCATTCAAGGTTCTTGCGAAACATTTCTGACCTGAAACTTCCAATCTTAACCCTTATACTGAGGTAACCTATTTCTAACCTTTCTAAACTAACTCCTTGCTCCAGGAGAATTGTGTTCTTACATTTAACTTTAAGCAGGACTTCTGAGAACTGAACAAAGGCTTTCCACATTACGGGTGAATTTGCTAAGCTAATCTAAAAAGAAAAGTATTTCTAACTGAAATCAGGCTAATACTCTTCCATGTTTACCCTGCCGACTCATGAAATTCTCCCAATGCAAACAAATTTCCATTAGCACTTCAGGAATCATTTCTCTTGTGCTTTTTTTTTAATGCCATAGCTCCTGTAATACTAACAGGTTAGTCATTAAAATCCCTTTTGTACATTGACCAAAACCAGTTCAAAATCCAAACTTGAATATAATATGTGTATTATATTATATGTATCATAGTGATATAAATGTACTGCAACTCAATCTTGGGAAGAAACTCCTTCAGGTGTTGAACCAATGAAGACGTCTTTGATGACCAATACATCTTTGCAAAATTATTGCACTTTCAGCATGAATTGCATGCTTTTTATCTCTCCTCCAGCTCAGCATGATATTCTGATACAAGAACATTTCCACAATTCAGTCCATTTTTGAAGGCATTGAACCTTGCTGGTACTTGAGGTCCCTTTCTCAATAGCAGTCACACTTCAACAACAACAAAAACAAAGTTTCTGGAAAAGCTCAGCAGGTCTGGCAGCATCTGTGGAGGAGAAAACAGAGTTAACGTTTTGGGTCCGGTGACTCTTCCTCAGAACCGTTTCAAGGAAGGGTCACCGGACCCAAAACGTTAACTCTGTTTTCTCCTCCACAGATGCTGCCAGACCTGCTGAGCTTTTCCAGAAACTTTGTTTTTGTTCCTGATTTACAGCATCCGCAGTTCTTTTGGTTTTTATTTAGCAGTCACACTTGATCTGGTAGGGTGATGTGTGTCTGAATCCATGAGTCTGAAGGTGAATTTCTGTGTAACTTCTTCGATCTAACATGACAACTGGACTCGGAGTGTGTCATAGTTGTGCAGACTGGTAACTCCATATAGTAATACACAGGACCTCATTCTTTGCAAACAGCGATGCAGTGTTCTTTCAATTTAACAAATTAGCAACATCCATTCTCTGGTTTGCTCCTCAGGGAAATACTTTGACCAATCACTGTCAACATGCCTGGTTTAAAACTTTAAAAATTTTTAGCAGTTAGCTGTCACTCATCGTATAACTGGTGCATTCTCCATGCCAAACTTATAGCAATCCCGTTCCTCTTGCAAATCAGCAATCTTCTTATGCAGCCTAAAGTATTCACCTTGATATTTGTATTCTTGTTAATGTCCTGATGAGTGGAAGATGAAACATTTCAGCAAAATGTATTTTCGTTCAGCAGGATTATGTAAATTGATTCACCTGACCTACCTGGAGGATTTCATACCTGCATTCATAAGGCATTGTAGTATCCATAATTAGCTCATTTCATCTTTTGGCTTCACTGTCCTAATTTCCTTTTTTTGCTGCATTTTATTCTTCTAATTGCTTCACTGAGAATGTCTTGATGAGATTTCACTATTTGCAATTTGTTTAAAATATAATTGATCATTCTTAATTATCAGTTTCCACACCGGTACTCAATTAGAATACTAGATTAAACTGAAGCTTTAATCTGTCATTGACAAATCACTTGTTGTGTATTTCTGTCTGCTTCTGTTTTCAGAATTCCAGTGTTTTCTCGTTCTTGCCTTAGTATTATTGCTGTTGGTTGGATAAATCTATTCGTAACATCTCAAATATATCTTTAGTTGCTAGATGTAAAGACATTATATGTAAATAATTAACATATCTATCAAAGTAGACTGAAACTAGTCAACCAGACTGGCATTTCCTGCTCTACACACTTGCATGAGAAGTTCATAACTGTAGGTGATGTCTTTATCCCCATTTTATCGGGATGGGAGATGAAGAATCCAGCACAGGAATACATGAGTGAGCTATATTCAAAGTAATTGCTTTGGAAATGCCAAGGAGAGAGATTTGTAAGAGCCAGAGAAGACTCACTCTCCTTCTCTGCTTCTCTCAGCCGCTCGAAGGACAAAGCACCTGGTAATGCAAATGGAAAAGAAACATCTGATTCTTGAGGACTCCAAGATTAACTGTAATGTTCACAGTTTCCCTTGATCCAGGGCATGTCTAGCCAGCTAGGTCTCTGGTTTATTCCAAACAGCACAAGAACAGCTTAGGACTTTAACCTGCATGTACTTTTATGTTGCTCAAAAGACAATTTTATCAAAGCTTTTCATAGCAGCACCTGTACCAACAAAATTCCCTTGTCAAACAATCAGCACTTTCAGACAACAAAAATGTTGTTTTCTCTTTGTATTTCTTGCGAAATGTCCCAATGATTATAATACAAAAACTTCAAAAAAATCTTTTTTAGCAGTGTTCTAGTTTTGTAATACCAAATAACTATTCAGAATAATTTATGTTTTTGTAGTGGTACTACTCCCTTTGTAACTTTGCATTTGTATTGATATTTCTTTTTCATGTTGTCTTTATTTTTCTTGCAGCTAGCAAGTATTAAAATTGTTTTTCCTTTCGCTCAAAAAAAACTTAATTGGCTCCTCATTTGTTTCGCGTGATCAAGTGAACTGGTGTGAGGTATAGCCATATACTAAAGAGAACATTACATCCTTGTCGCAGCCACCTGAGGAGGTTGAAAAGACGGAGGCTGATTCACCCTTCCTCACCTGGCCACAATGCTCATTTGAAAATAACAATTATTGACATTGACAATATGTTAATACACCTTTTATATCAAGCAAAGCATTTTCCAGAATGTGCACGTTTACTTAGGAATCACTAACATATGGAGAGTAGCAGTTCCCGATAATATTCAAATACTTGGCTGGCACTGTGGCTCAGTGGTTAGCACTGCTACTTCACAGCAGCAGGGACCCAGGTTCAGTTCCACCCTTGGGTGACTGTCTATGTGGAGTTTGCATGTTCTCCCTGTGTCAGTGTGGGTTTCCTGTCACAGTCTAAAGGTGTGTAGATTAAGTGGATTGACCATAGTGTCCAGGGATATGCAGGCTAGGTGGATTAACCATGGAAAATGAGAGGTTACAGTGATGGAATGGGTCTGAATGGGAGGGTCACTGTGGACTTGATGGGCTGAATGGCCAGCTTCCACATTGTAGGGATTTTGGAAATGAAGTGACAGGTACCAAGTTAACACGTGGCAAGCAGATTTTTGAATTACAGTGACACATCTTTGAAACTCAAAATTTAACATCCTGAGTTAGTCCATTATAGGTTTGTATTAGTTCTAAGTATTTCAAGAAAGTACAAGTCCCATTCAGTCAAACTGAAGAAATCATCTTATCTGTATCATCTTTTGATTTTACAGGAACAGTTGGTGACGCACACTGTTGAGTGCTTTAGTTACATCTCTTTCCGCTAGTCTGTGCTAAAGACAACACATGAACATTCTTGTACTTCTGTTGGGGAATGAAATCCTCATTCAAAATCCATTTTTCATTTGTCTCTAACACCTGTGCTCATTCCGGAGTTTTATGAAGTTCATAATCTGAAAAAAAGTTGAAATGTGTTAGAGGGGCTTTTACATTAAACATTTAATGTACTCCATTTTAGACCTAAATGGGTAATGTTTTTCACAATGGAAATTGACATCGCAACTTTGTTACTGTTTTAAATGTATCTTAATGAAGGATTTCTATATTTACTTATCAGGCCATCGTCATTGACCATGTACCATGAAGTCTCCCAGTTGTTCTCCTTGGTTATTTGAACAGAATGAAGATAATTGTTCTGTTGTCTCTCTGGAATCCAGTGTTTTCTACAACGAAGAATGTGTCAATAAAAATCCTTTAAACACCTTCATCATAAATGTTGGGGGCAGCAGGTTCATTTTGTCTCCTGAAACTCTGTTGTCCTACCCTGAAACACGTCTGGGGAAACTGGCTATGTCTGAACAGGACTCTGTGCTGGAGCTATGTGATGATGCCAACTTTGTGGACAATGAATATTTCTTCGACCGGAGTTCTCAAACCTTCAAATACATCATAAATTATTATAAAACTGGTAGATTACATGTGAATGAAGAACTTTGTGCAATGTCTTTTTTACAGGAAATTGAATACTGGGGAATAGATGAATTTAACATTGACATTTGCTGCAGAGACAAATATTACAGACGGAAAGAAATTAATGAAGCTTTAGACATAAAGCAAGATGCAGAACTGATTCAGAATGAAGAGGAAGATTTCTCTGGAGTAATTTGTGAAAACCTAAGACAAAAACTATGGGTCATGATGGAGAAACCTGACTCTTCAATACTGGCTAAAATATTTGGCATCCTTTCTGTAGCATTTGTTCTCATATCCATTGCAAACATGGCTCTCTTTTCCCTTGAATATACAATATTGGAACCCCCGTTATTGAATGCAGTTGAGTATATTTGTATCACCTGGTTTTCTGCTGAGTATTTACTGAGATTTTTCTGTGTCAAAAACAAATGGAAGTTTCTTAAGAGTCTGGTAAATATCATCGATCTTATTGCTGTGATCCCATTTTACATCACTATGCTGGTGGAGCAACTTTATGGAGGTTCCACAGAATTGGAAAATGTGGGAAAGGTTGTCCAGATCCTGAGATTGATGAGATCGCTACGTATGTTGAAGCTTGGAAGGCACTCAACAGGTAAGATGCCGCTTCACATAGGAATTTTCCTGCAGAAGAAATAAATACTTTTATTTTTTCTTTAGTATCAGTTCAAATACAAGTTATTTTAAAAATCTATTTATGACAGAAATTGTACCTAAGCAAGTAATTTGAAAATGTGACTTTTTTTGCTCAGCTAAAAAACAGACTGTGTTTCAGTAGTCTCAGGACAACCATGATACACCATAAAACTTTTTGTGAAATATCCTGATGAGTGCAATATGAAAAGCTCGACAAAATCTTTTGTTTTAATCAGTATTCAAGTTCTGTACTACCCAATGACTGTTAATATTAATTTATCTTTTTGTAATGGATACTATTCCATTTTAACTTTACACTTGTGTTTGCCAAACTATCTGACTGTGCAATTCCTGACTGACTTCAATTTTCCTTTCTCCATGAACTCAAGCTGCTGGCCACATCCTGACCTGCACCATTTCTTTATCAATGCTCACTGACTTTCATTGACTCAAATTTAAAATTCTCATTATATTCAAATGTGTTCACAGCCTTGCCCCTCCCTATCTCTGTAAACTCCTTTAGCATTTTCCCCTTATAGATCCCTCATGCCGTTCACTAACCACCTACCAAATGCATCTTCAGCTTTCCATGCCATAAACACTGGAATTCTCACCTTTATAACTCTTTTTTGCCTCTCTGCAATTCTGTCCACCTACAAGACTCTCCTATCGTATCACATTGACTATCACATTTGTTGTTAGTCACCCCTCCTAATGTCACCTCCTTAAGTTATGGTCAAATTATACTCCAAGGAATCATCAGTTAAAGGTGCCATATGAATGCAAGTTATTGCTTTTAATATTGTAAAATTACAATTGAGGTTGGGAAAATCCTTAATGTGGGTAAGCAAAGATATTCAGTCATTTATTTGAAAACATCACATTTCTGGTCCGCTACAAAACAGGCTGACACTTCATAGTCTCATAGGACAATCATGATACACCATAGATACCAATCATCAGTTCCAAATGATTTCCTTCCCAATACAGGAAGGTGTACATTATTTGAAAACAGCAAAGGATTTAAATTTGCGGAGCATTGCTACAGATTTTGATTAATGTTCACTTACCACCCTGATTATCATCCGTTTTTCAATACAGTATTTTGGTTATTGTTGTCTTCAACCAGAACAATAATTTACCCTTCAGGTTATTATAGACCATTCGTGGATAAATTGAATTAATGAGCATTAACCAATCTGTTTTGCTAAGTTTTTGGTGCTATGTTAGCACAAGTAATGTGCGTTGTAGTATGTGATTTATAAAGTCACACTGGAATTTTATAACCTTTAAAATGAAGTATTACAGTTTATAATTGCATGAGATTATTTTTTCCAAATAGAGATGTATAAGTAGACAACTTTAACACACGACCATATTGTTTGAGCCACAACTAATTTATGACTAAGAAAAATTCACAAAAGTGCCAGCAATTAGCTCTTTATGCTGGCATGCTGCTGACAGGTAATTCCTTCCAGCATGGTCAACAGCCTTCATTTTCAACCAATGTTTACAGATTCCAGTCTGCACCAGTCCATTGTGAATTTCAGTTACATTCCGGGCTTCTTTCCTTGGGTAATTTTCCAACAGGTTATTACAATGTAGTGAAGTAGGAGCCGGAGAGTAAAGTTAACAAGCAACAGTTCCAGAATAAAATCATACCATGTTCGGTAAGAAATAACAGCATTGGTGAGGTGAAACAGAGTTAATAGGCAGAATCTGGTGGTGGTGACAGGTGTTTTGTGTGCTGGAGATCTGGTGATCCCATAAGGCCTTCGTTTCAGAGGACCATCATCAGATTTTCAGGTAATTGACCAGGGCAACAATGGGATTCACTAAGGACTGCAAACCCTGGGGTGGAAGCACCTGCTAGCTAACCAGCAGGACTGATCAGTGGGACTATTAAAGAGGCAGCAGATGCCGCTGGTAGAACACCTATTGGAGAGCTCAAATCAAGGAGGGACCCAGGCCCAGATAAATGATGACAGGAGGGAAATAACTGTGTGGGGGACAGAGGCAGGTGAAAGGGTTGGCAGCAAAGACCGGTGGGGGTGTTGAGGGGGAGGTATCAAGACCTGCCCCGCACCCCCCCACTTCCATTCCTGATGCCGAGTTCCTCGATCAGCCACTTGCCTTGAAATGCCTCGCTTGAAGCCTGCAAGTAAACACAGCAGGATTTCCTTGTTGCACTTCCTGCAGAGTGAGCCTTCATTCGCCACACTGTTAACTACCTCCTCCTGGTTTTGCTGACTCAAAGGCTTCAATTAGCAGCAGTACAGGAAAGCCAAGCAGAGGCCTGTGTGCCTCGCTTTAATTGAGGTAGAAGTGGCAAGCTGCTAGCGAGCCTACCTCCCAGCCTCCTGCCTGATTAAATACCCCTCCATCACCCAATATACCAGTGTGAGGCCATCAGTGTATGCCAAATATTTTAGCTGATGACCCTTCATGAAAACTTCTTTTGAAGAAGCAAGTCCAGCAATGCTACATGAATAGGAACAAGCAAATGTAAGGCTATTGAATTAATAATTTCCTACAAGTTGTGCAACATGATATACCTTTTATGGAGGAAACCTTACCTCCAGTGGTAAATTCTTAGTAAGAGATGAAGAAACCAATATGGCACCTGAAAGAAATTAAGAAATATTTGAAGTGATTCCATTTTAATTGAAGTCTTCAGGGCAGTGTCTTTACCCAATCATCCTCATCTGCTTCATCAATGACTTTCCCTCCATCATAAAATCAGAAGTGGGAATGTTTGCTGATTATTGCATAATGTTCAACTCCATTTGTGATTGCTCCAACACTAAAGCAGTCCATATTCAAATGCAACAAGATCTGGACAATAATCAGACTTGGGCTCAAAAGTGGCATATTACACTCGTACTACATAAATGCTAGGCAATGACTATCTCCAATAAGAGTCAATCTAATACTGGCCCTTGGCATTCAATGTTATTATAATCACTGAATTCCCCCACCATCAACATCTTGAGGGTTATCATTGACCAGAGTCTCAACTGGACTCGCCATGTAAACACAGTAACTACACGATCATGCCTGAGGCTAGGAATTCTGCGGCGAGTAACTCAACTCCTGACTCCCCAAAACCTATCTACTATCTACAAGGCACATGTCAGGAGTGTAATAGAATACTCCCCACTTGCCTGGATGGGTAAAGCTCCAATAATACTCCAACAATCCATGACAAAGCAGCCAGCTTGAATGACACCATATCCACAAGCATCCACTCCCTCCACTGACGCTCAGTACACACTGCTGCTACTATCTACAAAATACACTGCAGAAATTCACCAAAAGTCCTTAGACAGCATCTTCCAAACCACGATCACTTCCATCTGGAAGGACAAGGGCAGCAGATACATGGGAACACCACCACCTTCAAGTTCCCTTCCAGGCCACTCACCATCCTGACTTGGAAATGTGTTGCTGTTCCTTCACCGTCACTGGGTGAAAATCCTGGAATTCCCTCCCTCACAGCTTTGTGGGTCAACCTACAGCATCTGGACTGCAGTGGTTCAAGAAGGCAGTTTACCACCACCTTCTCAAGGGCAACTAGGGATTGGTGATAAATGCTGGCCAGCCAGCAACACCCACACCCTACGCATTAATTAAAAACAAAATTGCTCTTGGTCATTGGTAACAAGTTAGCAACTGAAGAATTTTGAATGAAATTACTGATTTGCAGTTTTTATTCCTGTTAGATGAATGTAGCTTGGTACATTTTATGATGGATCATTTGTAACTTGTCGCTATAATTTTAATCTAAACTTTCTCGCTATCAACTGCAAATGTGACTCATGCAAATTTCTGAGTTACATAAAAAGTGTAAAATAGAATTGTGGCTGTAGGTGTTTCATAATCCCTGGAGAAAGATGAAAATATTTACCTCTTCAATCACAGTATCAAAGTTTGAAATTGAGGTGTTGATTTTAAAAAAAATTACCACCTCTACTACATTAGTATGGAAGGGAAAGTTAGGGATATAAACTTTGACCCATTCAATGGTTTCCTGAGATGGTGAGTGAGGATTGAAGTCCCCTGCATAATATATCACATCAACATGCTAAGGTACTAAGATTTGTCTTTGACTCACCGCTGCAAATGCAGTTAAGGTCATCCCTCCTCTTCCACTTATGGAGCCTTTGGCTGTATCATCCATACGTTGCTCAACCAAGTCCACTCACTGTCTTCAAAGGAGGTCAAAACTAGGGACCTTTGTTGTCGGGCCAGAGACAAGGATTTATTTTGCTGGTGGTAGGTACAGGTGGTAAGAGCAGGGAAGAAGGTGGGCATTGCACGCATCCACATAATACCATCCAGATGAATAATGGATTGATGCCAACTGCATTCCTTCTGGGAAAGTTGTGGTGGTTTCCATTTTATTACAGATGCTATTGTGGATAAGTAACTTCTCTCTGACAAGAAGGAATTCAATGAATTTATCTTTTCAGTGCATTTCAAATCGAGATGTTGCTAATATCTCCAACACTAGCTTGGTTGGGGCCTTATTTACACATGGAAGTTCATGCCAGGATCATCATCACAGCTACTAGAAATACGATTTTTGTCCTGCTCTCAGGTTGGAATTTTGGTTGTAGTAAATGGCAGATTTCCTTAAGGATCTCCTTCCTGAAACCACACACATCTCAGACATTGGTGAGAGAACATCCTGCTGGAGCCCTTCCTCCTCCACCAGCAGCTTCTCCTGCTCTGCCTTATCACAGCACATTGTCCTACTCAGAGATAGTAGGAACTGCAGATGCTGGAGAATCCGAGACAACAAGGTGCAGGGCTGGATGAACACAGCAGGCCAAGCAGCATCATAGGAGCAGAGAGGCTGACGTTTCGGGCCTAGACCCTTCATCAGAAAAGGGGGAGGGGAAGGGGGTTTTGAAATAAATAGGGAGAGAGTGGGAGGCGGATAGAAGAGGGATAGAG